GCAGCCCAGGCGCGCCTGGGATGCCCCCCCGCCGGCTTCCCCCGAGGCTTTGAAACCCGGAATATACGGTAGTACTGTTAACAAACCACCCTTTAATGTACAGAAAAAAGTCCGCGAAGTCGTGAATCCGCGATGGTCGAACCGCGAAGTAGCGAGGGCTCACTGTACTCACTTCCTACAAATGTTAAAACCTTTTTTTCTAAGCAAATAATACAATTATACTACCAATGTTCTTTACAGAATACTTCTATATCAAGATTAATTTTGAAAAAAATTAAAAAGCAGTTTGGAAGACACTTAGGCTGTCACGCAACTCTTCATTTTAAAATTCAAATTCTTACTTGTTCACTTCCAACTTCCAAAATATCATCAGCTATACAAGACTCTTCTCCGCTATCTCCATCTACTGGAATGGCTGAATCATGAAGGACAATCACATTAACGTCACTGTCTGGGTAACGTTCCACTTGAGGTTTCTTTGTATGTAAAAACAGTAATCCACATGTATGATTTATTACAACAAAATGTCTGCCACCAAAACGTACAATGTGATGTTTTTAACAATTTTGCTTTTGTCTTTACACCCAAGCAATCTGATCTCACACAGTTGCAAGACAGATCAGCAAAGTTATACTTGATAATCCTTTCAGAAAGTCATATGGGTCATCACCAGTATTTCCTCTCTCATATTTTAAGTCAATATCTCCTGGTCCTTGGCAGTTTACTAGAAAAATAGCTTGATTTGTTTGTTTGATGGGGTTTGTCTGCATGTTTGTTTGGGGGCAGGTTGTTTGTTTGCCTATTTGTTTGGCGAGGAGGGTGTGTATTTTTTCTAGGTAGACTCACTGAGGGAAAGCCAAATCAAAAAATATGAGACCTAAAGGACCCAAGACTTGAGATCAACTTAACATAAAGATAGACACCTTTACAACAGAGGATGACCTAAAGAAGGCAAGCTGTTCAACATTTCCCCCTTTCTGCCAGTAGCACTTCAGCCTAGCCTAGATGAAATTTCAGAAGGCTGCTCTTCAATGCCAAACGAAAGACAACAACTGAAATAGGCATTATCTAAAGCCCAAATAAACCTTTCAGTATTGCTATTCTCTGGACTCTCACCAATTTGTCTACAAACATCTTTCCTAGAGTGTGGTGCCCAGAATCCATCTGAGGCAGTATGAGTACCAAGCAGAACAGAACAATTACTTCACATGCCTTACATACAATGCTATTGTTAATATGTCCAAGAATATTAGATTTTTGCAAATGCATCACATTGTTTATTCTAGGGATGTTAAAAGGCAGATAATTGGCTAACCATGTAACTGCTGAAAATTACACGGTTACAAGCACCTGCAGCACAGGGCAGCAGCCCATATCCCTGGAGTTCCCCACATGTACCAGCTACCATCTGCCACCCCGTGCTGCTGCCTCTATATCAGAGGCAGCAGAGCAGGGTTACAGCCGGATCCTCAAGAACCGGAACAGGCACCACATGTAACTGTTTGGGTAATTGATAAGTTCATGCTGCACATTCAATTTATGATCCAGTATTGCGCCCAGAATTTTCAGCAGTACTACTACCTAGCCAGTTATTTTCCATTTTGTATTTGTGCCTGTGATTATTACTTCCTAAATGAAGTACTTTGCACTTGTCTTTACTAAATTTAATCTTTTGTTGATTTTGAACCAATTCCCCAATTTCTCAAAGTGATTTTGAATTCTAATCCTTTTCCAAAGTGCTTACAATCCCTTCCAGCGTTGTGTCATCTGCAAACATATAAGCCTATTTTCCACTCATCTATTCAAGTTATTAATGAAAATACTAAACAGTGTCCAGATTCAGGAAAGAGTCCTGTGACTCCCACTAAATAAACTCTCCCAGTCTGACAGTGAACCACTGATAACTTCTCTGAGTAGGAGTTTCAACCAGTTATGCACCTATCTGATAGTAATTTCTCTTAGACTGCATTTCCCTAATCTTGCTTAGGAGACTATCATGGGGGATAGCATCAAAAGCTTTACCAAAATCAAGATAGGTCATGTCTATTGCTTCTTCCCTCTCCACTAATCCAGTAATTATGCTAAAGAAAAAAAAAAGGAAATTAGGTTGGTGTAGGTGGCATGATTCATTCTTGACAAATCCATGCTAGCTATTCTTTATAATTCTATTGTTCAATAAGTATTTATAAATTCAGTAATTTATTCCAGTATCTTTCCAGGTATCAAAGTCAGCCTGACTAGTCTATAATTCCCAAGTCCTCTTTATTTCCCTCTTTAAAAAGAGGTACTATGTTTCTCTTTCTCTATTCCTTGGATCTCACCCTTCCTTCAGGAGTTCTCAATGATAATTACATTGTTTCCAGAATTGATTCAGCTAGCTCCTTAAGCCTTCTAGCATGAATTTCATCAAGTCTTGGTGTCTTGAATATATTTAAAATTAGAGTAAATATTTTAACTTGTTCTTTTGCTATTTTGGCTTGCATTCCTTCCCCCTTAATTGTGTTGAGTGAAGACAACTTTAGTGATGACTATGGATATTAGACAGCAGGTAACAGACTAGGCGACTAACCACATAAACCTTAGCAGTTAGTCAACTATTCTATAGTCCCTGAGGGTGGGGCTGGCAGCCAATGCACTCTGGCCCCACTCCGAAGGAGCCCCAGGCCACCCTGTGTTGCTGCCTCTGTATCAGAGGCAGCAGCATGGGGGAAGGCAGGTGGCACTGCACAGGTGGTTCTGGGAGGAAATCAGCTGTTAACACAGCTTCCCCCCCAGTACTGGCTCCTGCTTCCCTCTACTTGTTGCCTCTGATACTTAGGCAGCAAGGGGGGGGGGAACGCAAGTAGTTGACTAGACTAACTGATAAGTTTAAGCTTATCAATTAATCATCTACTGAACTACTTGTTCATATCCCTGACTAAAGCAAAACAGGCATTGACTGTTGACTGAAGCAAAACAGGCATTCAACACCTCAGTCTTCTTTATGTTGTCCATTATTAGCTCTCCTTCTCCACTAACAACATTATTTTTAACTGTCTTTTTCTTGGTTCCAATATATTTAAAGAACCTCTTCTTGTTGTCTAGATGTAACTCATTTTGTGCCTTGGCCTTTCTGATTTCGTTGCTATGTACTGATACTATTTTTTGTACTCCTCAGTCAATTATCCATGTTTCCTATCTTTTGTATTTTCAGGTAATCAAAGAGCTACTGAAAAAGCCAAATTGGCTTCTTACTGTTTTTCTTAGTTTTTCTTTGCATTGGAATAGTTTGCAGATGTAACTTAATATCTTTCTGAGAAACTGGCAGCTCTCTTGAACTTTTATTTCTTAACCTTTTTTCCTCATGGGATCATATCTTCCAGTTTTTTGTTTGAACTTCAAAAAGCAGACCTTTTTAAACATTGTACTGAATCCACAGTTCTCTCTCTTTCCTTTCCTTAGAACTATGAAGTTTGCCATTTCATGATTGCTTTCACCCAAATTGACTTCCACCTTTAGATTCACAATCAATTCCTCCCTGTTGGTCACAGTCAATACTAAAATGCTGCTCCCACTTACTTCTTCCAGTTGGTGAAACAAAAAGTCATCCCTAATACATACCACTTGTCCCTGCTACATTGCAAGAATATACTAGAAAATTTGCATTTTGCTGTATAACTTTTCCAACAGGTGTCTGAGTGAAGTTCCTCATTACTAGCAGGTCTTGTACTCTTGTATTTCTATTATGTGTGATAGAAATGCCTGATCCATCTCCTCTTCCTAATCTGATGATCTATTGTAGACCACTCTACAGTAACGTCATTCTACTGTTCCCCCCATTTATCTTTATACAGATCTTTTTAAACTATGAGGAAGCAATAAGACAGTGGGGTTTATATTATTCTACAAGAGAGGTAGAGCTATGTGTCATTCATGCACTACCTATACTGCAACCTGTTTTAAGAGTTTTCTCAGGCTAGGGAGATGGTGTAAATCTCGCGCTATATCTACACCACAATTAAAACCTGCAGCTAGCCCATGCCAGCCAACTTTAGCTTCCAGGTATTGGGCCAAGGGGTTGTTCAGTTGCAATGTAGATGTTCGGGCTCAGGCTGGAGCCTGGGCTCTAGAATCCAGCAAGGTGTGAGAGTGCCACAGCTCAGGCTGCAGCCCAAGACTAAATGTCTATACCATAATTAAAACTGTCCATTCGCCTGAGCCCCAGTTGGCTGCAAGTGTCTAAATGCAGTGCAGACATACCCCTGATGGCTTGCTATTGGCAACAGCATAATAAAGGGGAAAATCATGTACATTGTGAGACTCCAGGGGCAATGGCTTTGGAAACCGAAGAACAGCTGTCTATGATGGCCTAATCATTTTAGCATGATAAGAATCTGCGCCCTTTCAGAGTACTTTCATTTGCCCCTGAAGTCTTTTAGGGTATGTCTACACTACAGCACTAATTAGAACTAACTTCATTCGAATTAGTTAATTCGAACTAAGCTAATTAGAACTAGTGCATCTAGTCCTAAAAACTAGTTCGAATTAGCATTTTGCTAATTCGAACTAGCATGTCCACATTGAGTGGACCCTGAACCGAGGTTAAGGATGGCCGGAAGCAGTGCCGGCAGGGCATCAGATTAGGACTTAGAGTGTGGAGCTGCTGCCTCAGGCTAGCCGAGGGCTGTGCTTAAAGGGACCCAACACCCCCCCCGGGCAGACAGTTCTCAGGAGTTCCCCGCTTGCAAAGCAGTCCTGGCTTGGAGGGCCCTGAGTGCCCACATTCGGCACATCACAGCACTCGGCCATCAGCCCAGCTGCACTTGCCACAGGCTGCCATCTGGGGGGGGGGGTCAATCTGGGGGCTGCAGGAGAGATTCCACCTCAAGGAGCCCGCAGAGCCAGCCCAGTCCTCCCCATCGGGGGCTCGTACCCCATTCCTCCCTCACCTTCTTCCACTTATCCCTCCCTAGTCCCCCTTCCTGATGTACAAAATAAAGGACGTGTGTTCAAAAATAGAAACTCTCTTTATTGAACAAAACT